AAACAGCTGAAGTTAAATTCTCTAGTTTTTTCCTCAGCCCTCCTACAGTGCAACCCATTCTTTGCTATGAAAAGCTCGTTATATGAATTTCAACAGACATATTATGAAGACAAGTATATGTAAATGGAAATACGTAAAATTTCGGCATTTACATGAAAGAAAACACATACACACACTCAGCCAAAACACACACATATATATAGAGACAGAGAGAAGGAGGGAGAGAAAGACAGACAAACAGTCAGAGAGATTTCTGTCTGAAATTCTGGGATGAAGAGTTATCATTATTTACATTATATTCGGAATAGTATCCTCATCTTTGTTACTATGACAACATTTCGGATGTTGTGTCCCAGCTTCGGTCTTCATCATTTGTCACAATTCGATAATTCCCGTCTGCATTTCTGGGATGAGGAATTATCATTATTTACATATAAAATATTGCCCTCATCTTTGTGGTTGTTATCACGACGTTTCAGCCGTGTTACCCTCTGCCCTTCCTCCGGTGTATATTGATCTACAGGGAATTCTTAACTGAAACCTTTATTTAATCCACGTGGGTCGACTGTTCTCGTTCCACTGCCCATGTCTAAAGATATGTTGTCTACTTCTTTGTACTGTCCAGTTATTGTTTTTCCGTTTCCACTGAGTCCAAGTATCCACTGCCCGACCTAGGGATTGAACTCACAATCACTATCTCACTAAATTAACGAACCAAAGCTTTAATGCACTAAGCTATTGTCTCCAAATTATTTCAATGCAATATTCTGTCGAAAAAAAACTTCATACGATCCAAAATATGTTTTGGATTTAAATAACACACGGGAGAAAAAGGTGTAAAAAAATTAATCAAGCAATCGGAATTTCATGAAAGTTACTGAAATCGGCATAGACCTGAAGAAAGTAGGATGGCAAAATGACCGAAACGTTATGAACGTAACAATGTATTAGACTATTTTTTAAAAAAATGCATTATATTTTAGTGGCGAAGTTAGACATTTGATTTTTTTAAAGCTTGGTGATATATAAATAGGTATCTGTATGTCTGAGATGATGTATTATGATTACTTGAATTATTTTCTATAACTATAAACATTAATTGTTTACATTTCAAGTACGAAACTTATGCTAGCATATATAGATTCGTAGAAATCCCGACGAGTGATGTGCTTTCCTTAAATAGGTTATTCAAAGATTTCTCTGTCAGGATGGTCTCTCTGGGCAAACTAGCAATGGTATGATTTGGCTGAAAAAGAGAGCATGGAAAAAGGATACAGTTTCGATTTCTTTCAGAAGCACAATCTTTCTTTAGTAAGACTTCCCTATCTATGCCGCTTGTTATAAATATCACTGTTTAAGAAAATAACAAAAATAAACATGGATAGTCACTGAAATGTATTAGACTAGTCTTCTGCTATGCCCCACCTTCGGAATTTATCAAGTGTATATCGATCCGTGTAACGTACAAGGAATTCGGAACTGAAGACTTTATTTAATCTAAAGGGGTAGACTGTTCTCATTCCACTGCCGATGTCTACGAATATATCGTCTAGTTCTTATGTTTAGTACTGTTCAGTTATTTCTCGCTCTGTTTCCGCCGAGTCCATATATACACAACTCAGTACACAAATACTATGTCCCCCAAATTCACGAACGAAATCTTTTATCCACTAAGACAGACAGATATCAGCATCTGCTATGTGCAAATGTATTCAGACAGAGAGATGAATATGAGGAAGACTTTGTAAGACGACACTAACGTATATAGGGCAATAAAAAGGCTTACGAATAAAAACACGCCCACACACAAATACAAACGCACACAAATACAAACGCATGAATTCATTGACAAATGATAAGCAAAGTCATTGTTCTGTATATCCTTTTTCATGTCGTACGTTTCTAGAGGAAGTTATGTTATAAAAAATGCTTAAAAGAATGAAATTTTGATATCATAGCCGATTTAAAAATGTAATCACCACAAAAAAATAACACAGTATTTAACGCTACATTGGTCTGAAAATCGAATTGAAGCGGTAACCTGACAAACCGCAACGACTAGATTTATAAACACTTTATTTCTGATATTAAGAGCTCTTCCCCTATAAATCAAACTTTAAAATATATATATATATATATATATATATATATATATATATATATATATATATATATATATATATATATATATACTGTCTGGGCTGAAGAGAACTGGCATATGTTTGTGCTGGTCTAAAATAGATTATACTCACATGAGATAATTTGGGAATTTTGGCTGTATAGACTATAAGGTCTGTTATAATAAATACATTGAGCTCTCTCTGTGGATGAATTTTAATATTTGATCTGATATTACTAGAATCCAAGTGGATTATATACCAACGGATCTATTACCTGTACATATATATATATATATATATATATTATATATATATATATATATATATATATATATATAGAGAGAGAGAGAGAGAGAGATAGAGAGAGAGAAAGCGAGAGAGGGGATGAGAAGCTAATTGTTAATTTATGTTTCTGTATCAACTTGTTTCGGTTAATCCTTCTTGTACATTACTTCATTGTAATTTATGTTCATATTAAAAAGTAATGGAATTACATACGAATTTAAATTTTTGTTGGTAAGAGCTCGAGGTTGTTTTCACTCTACACCCTACAATTCCAGATTACCCTCTCAGTAGCTTTATTTATTAATTTCATTAGGACAGTGAATGCTGGTCAATCTCCGCGGAGATGAAAAGAGATTTGTGGCAAACAGTTCTGCAGAAAGATGCAGAGAATCTATGGACCGAATATATGAGTAAAGACAGGGTTCTAGACAAACTGGAATCAAAAACGACATTTATACTTAACAACAGTAAGTGATAGTCGAAATTTCTAGCGTAGATAATGAGGAAAGAGGGCTTGTAGAATTTGACACTCACGGGATATATTGAATGGAATAAACGCAGGAGAAGACAGAGCATAATCCACATAATGGACTTGTTTAAATGGTTGGCAGAACGGGGATTAGGAGAGATAATAAAAAGATAAATTTTATTTTTTATTAGTATACTTATAGGACAAATTGAAGTCAAAAGGGACAACGGAAAATTACGTATAACCTACTATTAGGAGAAATAACAAAAAAATTAAGAGCCTAAAAGGACAGGAAGTCGTAGAGAGCTATGATCGCCAACAAAAAAAATGACACGTTATATCATCTATATAAAATTGAGAAATCTGCTTATTGAGTGACGTCATTTTAATAAATTAACTTTTAGGGGGAATTTTGATATCTTTTTGTTTCGTTCTTGTGCATATCCTATAAGGGAAAACCTGGTTAGCGTATTTGTGTACTATTTATGTCTTACCTGGACGTAAAGAGGACTAAAAACTATCTTGTTATTTGATGCGTAACTCATGATGTTCCAATGACCAATACCATACGTCTCTAATGTCTCTTACTTTACAAACGTTTCGGTAAGGTTTTTCACATACTTCACCGGAGGTAACGTCACAGTTGTCGTGAGAATATCCAACATCACTTTTCTAGGAATGTTACCTTTATTTCATTATCCAATGAATGATTTATATATATATATATATATATATATATATATATATATATATATATATAAGTAAACACTGAAGTCAACACTTAGGGCGACAGGCTGTTTCATTCTGGACGATTGCGTCCAACATGAAACAACCTGTCGCCTTTGAGTATTGACTTCAATGTTCACTTTTATATTTATATTTACATACGCTCTCTCTCTCTCTCTCTCTCTGATATTGAGCACTTTAACCCATAAATATAGCACACCATAAAACTATTTCTTCATATATATATATATATATATATATATATATATATATATAACAGCAAAATTGTCCATATCGTTTTACAATATAATTATCCAACCCACAAATTGTTTAGTAAAAAATACGACTAAACTAACTGAGTTACTTTTTTCATATATTCGGATAACACGTTTAGCCATTTTGATACCACGTAACGTAAGAATCACTAAAAAAAACCTTTCAGCTAGAAAAAGAATAGGTTAAAATCGCTTTGTGTCAGTCACACTGTCTTCTCAAATGAGCAATGTTGCGAGGAAGAAAGATTATTCAAACCTTCAGTAATAATACCAACATTCATACTTTGGCTTACATCTTCAAAGTCCATTCAAGAACCTTCAAGAAAACGATGAATAATTTTAAAAAAGTGGGAACAGTGGAAAGGAAAACTGTATCAGGATATCATAACAGCAAAGAGGGATCATCATTTCTACTTAGAGCTAAATACATTCTCCTTGTTCAAAGTAGCGTCCAATAGTTTTATAAAAACCCGGAAAATTCCAGTAAGGTATATTCAATCATTTCTAAGATACAATGAATCAAAGCTTAATCTAACAATTAGACAGTTTTACACGATATTGAGATGATCCTTCAATTTTTTACGTTGCAAAACATTTTTGTTCAATAAATTTATGATGATTTGTAAGCATAACAAAAATTTAGCCCAAATAACGTGATGGTCCGTCTGAACAATAAAGGATAAGAGTTTCAGTATACTACTGTGGATAATATGAAATCGATTTTGGATTGCAGGGTGTGTCTTGTAATCGTTATAACAACTATAGGTAGAATTTGACTATTACAGAGCATCCATTCGCTTTTATACGATAAATCACAAGACTTGCAGACTTTCAGATTCGGTAACAACTAAAATGTGTAACTCGAAGAGAAATTAATGACATAAGCTACTTCGAAAAATAGATTAGGAAGAAAATTCCCGCCAATACTGGAAATATTAATTACAGTTAATGGACTTGAGAAAACAATTTTCCTGAAAAATTAAGAGAACGATTTTATAACATTATAATATTACCATTACCTTAAAAGCTGCGATGAAGAACATTTCGATGGTGGGTGTAAAAAAAAAAAAGGCATTATTCTCAGAGTTTTATTTTATCTGCGATAGCATCATTAGGGGCACATCACGTTGACACACCGGTTCTCGTATACTCACCAAAGTTAAGTAAGGTTGAGCCTGGTCAGTACTTAGGCGGGTGACCACTTGGGAATACCAACACATTAAACCATATTAAAAAAAAACAATTCTTAAAATCTAAAAGTATTTCCTGGCTTTAAATAACCTGCACTGGTTTGAAAAGCGGCATAAAACGATTCAATCAAATCTCAATATTAATCGGAAAATATTCAGAATTTATTGCAGCGATTTTTAACGTTACCATGAACGTACCACCCCCCGAGTAGCAACATTCAATTTCTTGCATTACCAAAGTAAATATTTATGGTGGTTGGAGAACATTTATCTAGTAACTACTAAATATTTACATGATCCCGTTATTTTGTATATATATATACTAGCAGTAGAGCCCGGCGTTGCCCGGGGATATAACAGTAAGAGATAGATCAAGTATCCACCATCATAAAGACTGAACAATAAAATTGACAAAGATTATTGTTTAAGGTTGACGGACACGCATGTCTTAATTAGTGTTTTTTTTTTTTTACGAATTGGTCAAACCCAAACTCAAACAAAAACATTGTTTTCAATCGTTATGAGTCTCTACCGATTGAATAGAATAATTTTATAAACAATTGTCTTGTAAATGGAATTTTTAAAGCATTCTGAATGTAAAAATAAAGAAAAAGGTGTGCAAGACAATAAGAAACACTACATGCCAAAAAAAAGTGAAGTTTTGTTGAAATCGGTTGAAAAATGTAGGTAGCCTTTCTCTGTAATCTTTTACAATTTATGATTTCTACTTATTGAATACAGTAAAAAAATTGCATATTTTGCTTGTGGTGATTCATAATTAGAATTCTGATTTGAATATATTTTCCACTCGTTGTTTCTAATACAAAAAATATTAACTTTATTTGTGTTTATTAATTTATTTCAAGTACTGTGTTCTTTCCTTAATAATTATCGTCTTCGAAATATTGTTGTTATTTGTCAGATTTTTACGTCGGCATTTTTAAATTATTTCTTAATACTTTCTTTTAAATATTAAATTAATTTCAAATAGAACCAATGCCTTATCGATCTGCCTTGTAACAAATTGCAAAGGGAATTGTAAAAAAGGGCCCTAAAGTGCGTGGAATTATCTTTCCCTAAAGATAAAGAATTATCCGATTTTTCGATTCGTACAATCAGTAGAGATCGTTAGATTATTGTCTAGGTTGACGGACACGCATGTCTTAGTTTTTGTTTTTTTACGAATTGGTCAAACCCAAACTCAAACAAAAAGATTGTTTTCAATCGTTATGATGAGTCCACCGATTGAATAGAATTAGAATTTTATTATAAACAATTGTCTTGAAAATGGAATTTTTAAAGCATTCTGAATGTATAAATAAAGAAAAAAGTGTGCAAGACAATAAGAAACACTACCTGCCAAAAAGAAAAGTGGATGTTTGTTTTATTGACTGAAAAATGTAAGAAATCCGATCCCATATATAAAGGAACACACACACACACACACAAACGACCTGGGTTTTTTAACAAAAAAAAAAGTTGTCAGTATTAAATGACCCATTGAGGTTGATATGCCGTAAAACAAAACAAACCAAAACAAAACAAACCGGATCAGGGAAGGAATGTTTTAATTTAATCACAGAGTCGGCTTGATTCCAAAAGTGTCTGATGTTGGTACGGCCTCTAGGAGTAAAGTTGAAAACATTGACAATTTTATTTTAAAACACTGTAATTTGAGAACAGTAATTTTTCATTTGGACATGCTTTAATTGGTTTTATCAATAGAAGCCAAGATGGCAAAATCTGAAAACAATCGCAGTAATGAAAATTTGGGAATCCAAACTTTCAGCATGGTAGGTCCTGATTCCAAAATGGTATCACATGTTGCACTACGGCCTCTAGGAGTAAAACTGAAAATATGTAACACAGTGACAAACTGACATTCGCGTTTATTATATAGATGTGGTATATATAAGCAGCAACCTCTCATTTATGTTTCGTTGAAGATGACGAAAAAAATACTTTGAAAGTTTTATTCATTTTTTTTTTTTTGGACAGTTTTACGCGAAGTGAATTCAAATTTGTTCTGTCTAAAGCTAAGTTCGACCATATTTTTGTAAAGCCAAAAGGCTTACGGCAGCATCAGGTTGAAACACCGGTTCACGTACTTCTACCTGAGTTAATCAACGTCGAACTTGGTAAGTATCTAAATGAGTGATCACATGGAAATACAAGGTGCTGTAAGCTTGGATGTGCGGGTGGTGTAATGGAATTATTAATGCTCAGAATTGTTAATCGTAGATTCACGTTCCAATTCCAGTTGTGTTCTTTATATTCACCTACGCCCAAATACCATTGAGAAATGTATGAACCAACTTCTCCCCCCTTCAGCTATGAGCTCATTAGTAAAATTTGTATCACTAAGTCATTATTATCTAATAAAAATTCTTACAATCTAAAGATATATTCTGGTTTTAAACAGTTGATAAGTCGTAAAAAATGAATGAATGGATCAATCAATCATGCAAAGAGAAAATATATTGTAGCGTAAAACTTACCGTCTGTAACTGTTCAGCTCATGAACTTATCCTAATGTTATTATTGGTATTTGCACATAGGAAACGTTGTATAATTTGCAAAGGTCATTTCGCCCGTCTTGTGTACGACAATAACCTACATTCACGTCCTGGGTAAGACGATAAACTACATCTATCAGCAAGGCCTCTGATCAGGAGGTTTTGAGGAGCGTGGAATCACCTCTTAATTGCTGTTGTTCCCAGGTCCACTCTGATCAGGGGTGGTAGCACCGGTTAGGGTCCCAGCTATGGGCAAATAGTTAACCCCTAAATTGGGGGCAAAACAAAATGAAAGTATAAAATAGTTTTTATTACCATCAATACATATTTTGGATAAAAAAAAAAAAATATTACCAGAAATGTATTTTTGAAGAAAATAATTATTACTAGCAATACATTTTTGGAAAAAATATTAACAGCGATAAAAAATCTTGTCCGCATTAAATAACCAATTGAGGTTGATATGCCGTAAAACAAATCAAACCAAAACAAAGCAATTGATCTTCTAAATGCACTACATTTCATTACATATTTCATTGGAAATTACCCAAAAATACATTGAATTGTTTTGTTCGTTTATTTCTTCTAAGTTTGCATAGTCCTATTTAAAATGTACATACACGTAGCTGATGACGCTAACAATGAAATATTACTCATGTGAGTAATAATAATAAGATATGTTTAGTAGACCACGCATTTGATAAATTATATTTTTATTAGTTTTACATTTCTATTCTTTTACTATTTTATTGTGTGTTATGTGAGAAAACATACCTAGAGTAAAGAATAGTTTTCTAGTTTTTACTATTCTAAACAGCTATGATGTTAATTGTAATTTTAGTCATTTCCTTATAAAGAAACATTCAGAAATCATTGACCGAGTAGACAGTATTAAGTACGGTTTAAATTTATAAAATCTTACTCGTAAAACAATTTTTCAATAAAATTGGTTTCTCACGTTCAGTTACTACTATTGCCATTTGCAGTATCCACGCAGATTTCCTTCCCAACCTTTTGTTTGGCGTAGTGTAGAAAATCAACATCTTGATTATATCATTATTTCCCTTCTATTTACATGTGCTATCCATTTTAGTTTTTGCTGCTGTTGAAATTCCTCAAGTGATTTTGGGTTCTTTCATTTGATACAGTATTTTGCTTATGATTCTATCGTACCAGTCCACAAGGTTTGAGGAAGGAAGGTTCTCGCTAAAACCAAAATTTTCATTTGCTCAAAGCAATTTGTAACCATTAATCTGAGAAAGAGTTTTTATACTGTTGGCGGTTTAGATACTTCTGAAAAATGTTAGCCCTACGCATGACATTTAGGAACATGGTTCGAAATGTTATGTTTTAAATGTGTTTTAACTTTTCCATATACCGAGGTACCTGAAGTGTTTTTTTTTTTTATTTAATAGTCTTACATACTAAATTTTCATTTTGGGTTCAGGGATTGACATAACTGCTTTCATTCATATTCCGAAGTTTCTGATATGGAAAGTTTTATTTTCAGTCCTGTTTTTTGTAATACTTGGTGGAGAATGTTAATATTTGTTTCATTCAAATTCAAGATCGAAGTTCCTGATATGGAAAGGTTTAACGTCGGCACTTTTTCTTGTAATACTTGGTAGAGGATGTTGATTTTTGTTCATGATCTTTCTTATCACAAATATGAATACATACGTGATCAGTACAACACCCTCTTCATCAGTACATTGGCCTCGGAAGAGAAAGCAAGAACTCTAAGAAGTCTTCTATTATCAGATTATTTTATATTTAGTATGGAATGCTTAAATGATCAGTGCGCAGTTCTTCCCACCTGTGTTCGTAAATGCACAGGGCCTAATCTAGGAAAATATTAAATAGTCCAAGGGGCTCTCATTTCCTCCTTGTCGTACTACTGATGAGGTTTTAAAATTTTTCGTACTGGGGTCCTGGCCAGACGTAAATGATTTTGTGGATGGATATAGTTTCTCTATCAAATCAAGATATTCACTTGAGTCAGATTTTGAAAGGTGTTTTGTTATGGATGAGAAGAGGAAGTTACTATTAATGAGGTCTTATGCCGTCATCTGTTGTAGAGGTATGTAATTTATATAGTTGTTTGATAACATATGAAGTCTGGCCAAAAGTAACGGAAGTAGATTAAGCAGCTTGACATTGAAATATGTCACGCATGTACAATGTTATAACGTTCTTACCCACTTCCGTTGTTTATAGCAGTGTTTGGAAGGAAAGTGGGAAGAGTGTGATCATCTCAACGCACCACAGACAACCTTTTGAAAACAGGCATAACAGATGAGGAAACGTGGGTCTATGGCAATGTCCCCGAAACCAAGGCTCAGACTTCGCAGTGGAAGAACAGATCTGCTCCGAAGATGGAAGAAATCACGAATGAGTCGAAGCAATGTGAAGCCACTGTTGACAGTTTTATTCGACGACAAGGGCATTGTTCATCATGAATATGCTCCATCAGATCAGGGAGTAGTCAAAAATTACTACTGTGACGT